ATGACCCAGGCTAGTCTCATCAGATCTTGGAAGCTAAGCAGGGTCGGCCCTGGCTGGTATTTCAATAGGAGACCTCCAAGGAGTACCATTGTTGTGATGCGGAGGCAGGCCATGGCAAGCCACCTCTGAATGCCTCTTGCCTTGAAAACCCTAAGAGGTCGGCTGTGACCGGATGGCACTTTCCTCCACCACCACCAGCACTCTGCCCTGACCTGGATGGCCGAGGCTAACCTGATTTTGTCAGCTCTCAGAGGCTTGGTGGGATCAGCCCTGGCTCGTCCTTGGATGGGAGGGAGGGTCACAACACGATGGCAAACCCCCTCTGGACGTCATCTGTGACTGGATGGCACTTTCCACTGCCACATCGGCACTTCGCATCAGGCCCAGAAACAGACTGGACACGGGAGAGGTGGTCCCCCTACAGTCCATCCCTGTCAACTCCCTGGCTGTGGCATTTTGTCACAGTTGCAGTTTCTTGAACCATTTTGAAAGGTGCAGCCCGGCATGACTCGTGTCACGATAGTCCGGTCTCAAGAGTGACCAGGGCCTGCGTCACCAAGGCTAGTTCCGTCTTATGCAAATAACGCTGAATGACTTTGATCAAAAGTAAGTGTAATGTTTTTCGTGGTGTGATATTCATGTTATGGCGGTCAGTCTGCATCTCCATGAACCCCAAGGTGGCACAGATCCGTAGGCACAAAGTGAAAGCTGGGGGGTCTGCTGCATAGATGTTGGTTCCTCCAACAGATAAGATTCCCAAGGTTTGTCCAGGATAATTTGGCAGAGGCAAGCAAGATTCTTAAGAGTCTTTAAAACAAATCAAAGGAGATTATTTTGTTTGTGGATGGGCTGAACAAATTCCTGGACAGGTTGCTGCCGGCAGTGATGGTGGTTAAAAGGTTCCTATTTTGATTGGGCGGTGGGAAAATGGGCTACACTGCCTTTTAAAACCAACAATTCCCCCCCTCATGGAGCAGCTGTCTACATGCCAAGGTGTGTGGCTCTACAGCAGGGCACCTGTACACATGAAGCTGCTTTATACTGAACTAGGAAAAAGGCCCGTTGTGGGAATAAATACAACGGCCTCTAGAAAGAGGCTCTGGGCGGGTGTCCCGGCCTTGGACACTCAGTGTCAATTTGCTGTGGTGACCTCAGCAGGGTATAATGACACTGAGTCCACCATTTTCTCCAGAGGAACTGATCTCTGCTACCTAAAGAACAGTTGTAATTTTGAGTGATCTCCAGGCCTCACCTGGAGATTGGCAATGATGGTTCCCCAGAAGGGAATGGTTGGTTTGGAGGGTGGAGTCTATGGCTTTGTACCTGTCCGAGGTCCCACGTCTCCTGAAACCTCACCCTCTCCAGGCTCCACCCCTCACATCTCCAGGAATTCCCCACCTGGAGTTGGCAACCCTATCTTCTTCCCAGCCAATCATCAACCTACCTTTATTTCTCCCTCATTCTTCAACTTTCCACCCCCCACACACCTGCAGCCTCTCCCATGCTCTGAAGCCCTGACTGCTGCGTCACATTGGCTGTCATACGGGGGCCACCTCAGCAGCATATAAGGATACGGAGCCCACCATTTTCTCCAGGGGAACTGATCTCTACCATCTGGAAAGCAGTTGTAATTCTAAGTGATTTCCAGCCCTCACCTGGAGATTGGACACATTTTACCTCAGAACAGAAAACTGTTTAGAATGTTAGAGGCAAAAAAGCCAATTAAGTTGCATATGCAAACGACCTCTGTGTTCCGAGGCAAAGGCTAGTGAGGCTGCATATGCAAATAACCTCTGTGTTCTGACTGGCTATGGGGGGGGGAGGAACAGCAAACTGCTTAGAATGTTGGAGGCGAGACTCAAGCAATGCAGCCAGTGGATAGGGACAGATTCTGAGTGACACAGCAGGCGCCAACCAATTCCGGAGCGTGTGGAATGTTCTAGAGACGTGCCACCACCATTCGGCTTTTATATATAAGGGAGATTAGACCCTTGGTCCATCAGTGTCAGTATTGTCTACTCAGACTGGCAGCAGCTCTCCAGGGTCTCAGGCAGAGGTCCTTCACATCACCTACAGCATGGTCCTTTTAACTGGAGATGCCGGGGATTGAACCTGGGACCTTCTGCATGCCAAGCAGATCTCTAGCACTGAGCCACAGCCCCTCCCAGTTTTGCATGCAAGAGGTCCCGGGTTCAGTCCCCAGCATCTCCAGTTAAAGAATATGTGATGGCTGGCTTTGGGAGAGATCTTTGCCTGCCTGAGATTGCAAAGGATCATTGGTCATCAGAGAAGACAGTACTGAACTAGCTAAAACCATGGTCTAATAATGATTATCATCGTATGGCATTGTGTGTAGTATAGCCAGGAGGTCCTAAGATTGTCTGGCAGCCTAAAGTTCTAGCTTTTTTAGAGTTATGCATGACTAGGTGGTGAGCTAGACTTATTGGGGCACTGAGAGAGCTCTGACAGAGCTGTGACTGCCCCAAGGTCACCCAGCCGGCTTCAAGTGGAGGAGTGTGGAATCGAACCTGGTCCTCCAGATTAGAGTCTGCCGCTCTTAACCACTACACCACACCGGCTCTGAACCGTGGTCTGATTTGATACAAGGCAGCTTCATATGTTGATAGTCAAAAATCCTCTTGCATTTTGCATTCCTGCCCTGTGAGATTTGGTGACAATCCTTTGAAGAATAACAATATTCTGAAACGCGGCAGGTCCCTGGGGTTTCTCAGAGTTAAAAATGCGAGTGCAGGGATTTATTTTGCGTGTTACTGTCTAGAGGGAGAAGAGAGACATGGCAAGTTTCATCTTCTTAGGCAGAATTCATAGGCTGCCGAAAGCGCTTTCCAGCCCCTCCTCTGTTGTTGGGGTCTATGTGTGAAAAGCGAAAAGTCAGCTTCAAATGCACAAGTCAGGTTCCTGTGAAAAACAGGCCGCTGTGAAAGCATTGCTCCGGGGGATTTTTGAGTCCATAAATGGCCAAGCAAGAAGCCTGATTTACAGCCCCGTTTCAGCCTTACGTGCTTTACAGTGCATGTGTGATTTCAGGCTAGTTTTAGGGTGGAAGACAGAAGTGGCAAGGGTATCATCACAAGTAAGTGACAGGTGTACGTGTTTGGGTTTAAAAAATGTGACAGATTGATAGGGGTGCATGCACAGCCCTGATTCAACCTTTCAGTCTTGCTTGCTGTTCGAAATCCCTACCCTTCACTTTCAGCACTGTTTTCAAGGAAAGCAATCATGTTCTTTAAAAACCCATCTTTTCCCCTTGAGAATGCTGGCAACGTAGGAAGTCAGGTTCTGGTTAGCACAGCCAGGAAGGAGCTGAAGGATTACAGTGGGGGAGGCACCATGGCTCAGTGGTAGAGCATCGGCTTGTTATGGTGTAGTGTAGTGGTTAAGAGACTCTAATCTGGAGAACCGGGTTTGATTCCCCACTCCTCCACATGAAGCCAGCTGGGTAGCCTTGGATCAGTCACAGTTCTCTCAGAGCTCTCTCAGCCCCACCTACCCCACAAGGCACCTGCTGTGGGGAGAGAAAGGGAAGGTGATTTAAGCCACTTCGAGACACATGAGGCCTGCTGGGTGACTTTACGTCAGTCACAGTACTCTCACAGCCCCACCTACCTCATAGGGTGTCTGTTGTGGGGAGAGGAAGGGAAGGCGCTTGTAAGGCCTGCTGGGTGACCGTGGGCCAGTCACAGTTCTCTCAGAGCTCTCTCAGCCCCACCCACCTCACAGGCAGAGTTCCCTCTAAACTGAGTTAGAGTGAGCTAGCTCAGTTTTTTAGCCTCCGGCTCACACATTTTTGTCTTAGCGCAGGGAGGATGGCTCCAGAGCAAACTCATTGATGCAGCAGCCAAATCGCTCTCTCACAACTTTAATGCCAGGAGATCACCAAGTAGGATTTTTGCTCACAAGACTCCACGGCTTAGAGGGAGCATTGCTCACAGGGTGTCTCTTGTAGGGAGAGGAATGGAAGGTGATAGTAAGCCGCTCCAAGACGCCTTCGGGTAGTGGAAAGTGGGGTATAAAACCCAACTCCACATCAGCATCTCTCTGTTTGAAAGGATCTGGTAGGAGGCGATGTGAAAAACCTCTGCCTGAGACCTCAGAGAGCCACTGCCTTTCTGAGAAGACAGTACAGACCTTGATGGGCCCATGGTCTGATTCGGTACCAGGCGGCTCCATCTCCTTTCCGAGCCACCCAGATCCTAAATCAGAGCCATATGCATACACAGTTTACCTTTTACAGACTGAGAGAGAGCCAGGGTCTTCTGCATGTCTTTTCTTTAAATCCTGGATATCAGATGAAATCAGAACACTCGAGCCAGCTGAAAGCACCAAAAGAAAGCCATGTTAGAGGAGGAACTAATACTCTGAATAAACAGTAATAACTGGTTAATAATCCTGTGTTTATTAATGTTCTGAATGGATCTGGTGTTTAAGTATATTGAAATGGAATCCAAATTGGGAGACAGACATATTTTCCTGGTATTTGATGGACAATGTGCTAAAGATGTTGGGGGTTTCTCTTTGGGTTTTTCCTTGCCGTCAGTCTTGTTCTATTGTTGGATAATTATATATGTTTAAACTCTTGTTCTCTTCGTAATGGGGACACATTAACCCATCTGGATAGCAGAGGAGGGAGCTGGACAAAATGGCCAGGAAAGACATTATGCAGATATCACATAATGGGTATGCATTTTAACTGATGTGTTTTCTCAAGGTGGGGGTAAGCCTTGGAGGTAGGTCTACATTGCTTCACGTTGATCTTGGAAGGATGTGGCTCTCCCTAAAAAGTCATTGACGGGGAATATCCCATTTCCCACGCAGGGAGTAACAAAACCTCGCTGGATTCAACCTGCTGTGCTGACCGATGTGGCCGAATATGCCACCCACCATGTCTCTGGGGCTTTCTTCTCCCCTGAGTATCATTTCATTGTGGACATGTAAGCGCCCGGACCAAGCTCTTGTGCCCTTTTTTTTGTCTCTTATAGGAAAAAGCAGATTTAGGAGAGCTGAACTTCTCCCTCTGTTACTTGCCCACCGCTGGGCGTCTCACGGCCACTATCATCAAGGCCACCAACCTCAAAGCCATGGACCTGACGGGCTTCTCTGGTGAGCAGAGAGGGACGTGTGCCTGCGAGGAGGGTGGTGTGTTTTGGTGAGAGAGCTTAGCGCCTTAGGGTGAGCATCAAGCGGTGGGGCTCCAGAAGTGAGTTGGCCAAGGGATATCAGAGTGTGGTCATGCATCGGGCCTGGTGGGAGGCTGGGGAAGAGGTGGAGAAGATAGTGAGTGAAATAAAAGAGTGCTGGGAACCTGACCAGTGGGAGGGGGGGTAGGTTGAGTAGGTGGAACCCCCAATGAGCAGGGGAATGCTGTGGATTTGCGCTTGTTGTGGGCTGATCTGATGAGTGAGACAGGATTGGGATCTGTTAGTAAGAAGAACTTATCATGGGCTGGGCACAGAAGGAGACTGAGATGGTATAATAATGGACTTATACCACTTCAGGCTGCAGTTTGGCTTGAGGTTTCCATTTTTTTTTTAAATGTTCCCCATGTCAAAAGCTTCCTGGAAATAGAAGAACTGGCGAGTCCAGGGAGCAACACCGTATTCCATTTTAAAATTGATTAATGTTATTTACAACATTTATACCCCATCTTTCTGCCTGATCAGAGCCACCGGAAATGTGATTTCCCTCATCTGTGGCCCGGAATTGGTGACGGAGAAAGTAGGTTGCCTTTGCTAGGCAACCACAGGCAGTGCTCTCCAAAGGTCAAGGGTTCCTCTAGTTGCCTAGCAACCAAGAGGTCCACACATATCTTGGCTGAAACGGCTACCAGGGTGGTGATGTCCGGTGGTAGGGATGGCGAGAAGGGTAGATCCGGGCAAGCCGATGCTCTGTGATTCAGACCCTCTCTCCCCCTTCTCTTCAGATCCCTACGTTAAGGCATCCCTCATGTGTGAAGGCAGGAGGCTGAAGAAACGCAAGACGTCCATCAAGAAGAACACGCTCAACCCCACTTACAACGAGGCCCTCGTCTTCGACATCCCCCAGGACAGCATGGAGCACGTCAGCATCACGTTGGCGGTCATGGATTACGATTGGTGAGCCGCTCATGGGGGCCACGCTCTCTCCGTCAGCGATCACTGGTCAGGAGCAGTGTTCCCTCTAAGCTGAGTTAGTGTGAGCTAGCTCACAGTTTTTTAGCTTCTGGCTCACACTTTTTTGTCTTAGCTAAGAAGGATGGATCCAGAGCAAAGTAATGTATGCAGTGGCCAAATCGCTCGCTCACAACTTTAATGCCAGTAGCTCACAAAGTAGAATTTCTGCTCACAAGACTCCGCATCTTAGAGGGAACACAGGTCAGGAGTCCCCCATGTCTGGAATGCTGCATGACTATCTGGCCCCTCCACGTGGCTGAGAAGGCTTGGGTGATGGTTCCCAATAAATGTCCATGAAATACTGCCAATCCACATGGACCTTTGGATGCCGGCCTCCCAAGAGGCATGTCAGTGTCATCAAGGTTGAAGCGGAGAGATGCTGGGAGTTGGGGCCACGAAATCAGAATGGACTCCCGGGCTTTCTGCAGAGAGGAGGGTGTCTGGCGAATGCAGGGAGCCGAGTCGGGGGAGAGGGGGGCTCCTTTCCCAGCAAAGAGGGTGGGAGTCAAAGGCTGGAATGCCTCCTTTTTTCAGCGGGCCAAACTTCACGCTAGTTTTTTGGGAAGAGTTAGGTCTGGGTTTCCCTGCAACCGCTCAGCATCTGCAGGGAACGGCTTCTAAGAATGAACTCTGAACGCTGCCGTGGGGTGTGTGTGTGTGTGTGTGTGTGTGTGTGTGTGTGTGTGTGTGTGTGGAAGAGCTCCTGCCTTCCCCCCCAGCTCTTTTCCCACGTGGAAACAGTGCTGGGGGAGGAGCTATTTCCCCATTTTTGCTGCTGCCCGTGCACAGAATACTCCACATGGAGTAGCGGAAACAGGGAGTGAATTCCAGTCTGGGGGACCCAGGCCCAAGTCTTTGAAAATGCTAGCTCCTAGTTTGGCCTGAGAGAGGTTAGACTTCACTGAGCCAATGGAGGGAGTCTGGGAGCCACCGTATTCCTCTTGAAGGATGGGGCTTCGAACCCAGAGTTGGGATACTGGGAGCCAGGAAGAATGGGTAGAGTGGGAGCCATTTTAAGGGACTGTGCCTGTTCTTACGTGCTTCCCGCTTCCCTGATTGGTGAGATAGCAGTGCATCCCTTTCCGATGAGGGAGACGTGGGCACCTGGAATGTCTGACGTGATTTTTGAAGCATTTGCTAGCAGTCATGCAGAGCTGCCTCAATGGAGGCAAAGAAGGGAGGGTGGTGGGTCCAATGATGAGACCTCACACTGTCCAGGTCTCCCCAACTCCAAGCACAAGTCAGTGTGGGTAGCCGTTAGAGTGCTGGGCCAGGATTGCTTAAACCTGGATTCACATCCCTCCTTGACCATCAACGGCACCGAGTCATCTTGGGCCACACTCACACTCCCTCTCTCCCCCTCCCAGTCTGCCCTACCTGACAGGATTGTTGTGGGTATAAAAATGGCGAGGAAACGGGTGCATGCTGCCTCGAGCTCCTCGGGAGAAGGGCAGGAGCAAAATCAAATTTTGTAAATTACGTGTGCGGCTGTTGCCAAACGGGCCTGGTTTATTCTGATGAGAGCCAGCGTGGCGTCGTGGTAGAATGTCGGACTAGGATCTGGGAGACCCAGGTTCGAATCCCCACTCTGCCATGGAAGCTGGCTGGGCGAGTCCCACACTCCCAGCCTCACCTTCCTCACAGGGTTGTTGTGAGGAAAAATGGAGACGGGGAGAATCTTGTGAGCTATTTTAACTCCCACTGGGGAGAAAAGTGGGGTACAAATCAGGCGCATACATTTTCTAAAAGATGTGGAGTCAGTATTGAGGCTCCCCTCCCACCTGCTCTTCTCCTTCTTCTTTGTGGGAGATGGGTAGATAGAGTGATCTCTGTCTCCACAGCATTGGGCACAACGAAGTCATTGGGATGTGCCGAGTGGGCAGCGATGCCGATGCGCCAGGAAGGGACCACTGGGCCGAGATGCTGGCAAATCCACGGAAACCCATCGAACACTGGCACCAGCTGGTGGAGGTGAGAGGGCTGGGAGGGCAAGCTGGCTCCTACGTCAAGCGCTCTAAGTGGGGCAGCCAGCCAGAGTGGGTTTGGTGGGGTGCTACGACGACACTTCCCAACTGGCCAGGCCAAGAGACGTCCTTTTAATAGATTCCGGACGTGCAGAAACGGGCACTTGAAGACTTTCATGCCATGCAGGTAAATAACATCACCTGAGAATAGCTGCCGATTGAACTGATATTAAAAGGGACAACTGAAAGGACCAGCTTAAAAGCTGGTCACCCTAGGCGGGGCTTCTGCAGGAACTGTGCATCAGAAATATAGTCATAAAAGTGAGTAAAGTTCCACACCATTGTAGTCCTCAATGGCGTTTCTGGTCTAAAACAGCACTTCCGTTCTAACTTGCAGTGCAAAGCGTACAGGGTGTTCATCGTAGAGGTGCCAAGGCCAAGAATAGTGCCACTCTGGAGCCACCAAGAATCCTAACCAAAGGCAGCTTTCGGGTTTTTTGACTGCTAGTTCAGCCCATCTGCCACTCTGTTTCTATTTCTGTGGTTGGGATCCAGGAGCCCGGGATTCTTTGGCAAGAAAGTGGGGCCCTGTGGTTGGCAAGTAGTTGGCACTGGGGCTGCCCTTCCACAAAAGCCGTCCCTTAGGAGGCGAGGATGGTTTCCAGCCCAGTGAGTAACTCCCCTGCGGGCAAGTGGTGCTCTGATAATGAGACCAAACTCCTGTTGTTCACAATGAATAAATAAAAGTTGAGTTTAAATAATCGTTTTCCTTTTATTAACACAGTCAGTGGGAGGGATACTGCCGGATGTCGCATTTAGTCTTGCCCAATTCATTCCCCTCCTTATTAGAGTCCTCATCCCACACGGCAGGTCTTGAAATGCTCAGCATAACCTTTTTTTGGGGGGGGGGTCAAAGGGACTCCCTTCCTGTCTTTTTCATCAGCAGAAAAGCAGGTTGGATCCCACCCGATATGATTCACCTAGGAATTATTTTGTTTGCACTCCCTGAGCCTAGCAACCGTTTGCAGTTAGGGGGTTTTGGTTGCAGAGAAGGGTCGGAGGTAGACTGTGGGAGCGGAGGCTTTGGGTGTATTGTGGAGGGATTACATATAACTCTCTGCTCTCTTCCTGCTCCAGGAGAAGACTCTGAACATCTACATCAACAAGAACCCTCCAGCACGGGACAAGCCCAGCATCGTGGTCGAAAGTGTTCATTCGGACTAAGGCCGTCGTCTCCAGCCCTTCTCCACCCAGGGACTGTGAGTACTTCCGACAGTGTGGGAGCCATGTGCCCAAGCACAGCTGAAGTGTACAGCACAGCTCCTTAGAGAGTGTTACCCCATTTTGACCCACATCCCTTGGCTTTGGCAGGTTCAGGCGTCCTGAACGAACCAAAGTTGGTTTGTGATGAAAGCAAGATGGGTGCGCTCTCAGGCTCCCCCCCCCCCGCAAAAAAAAAGAATCTTTCTGAAGTGTGTTGAGCAGAATTCAAAAACTTCCTGATGTGAGCAGTCTTCGATCAAACCACACTTTGTTGTTAATGTCTGGACTTGGGCCGCTGTGACAGATTGGGTGTTGCTTGCCACAGGGCTCTTTTTGCAGCAGGAACTCCTTTGCATATTAGGTGACACACCCCTAATGTAGCCAGTCCTCCAAGAGCTTACAGTAGCCCCTATAAGAAGAGTTCTGTAAGCTCTTGGAGGATTGGCTACATTAGGGGTGTGTCGCCTAATATGCAAAGGAGTTCCTGCTGCAAAAAGAGCCCTGCGTTGTTTGCCTGAAAACTGGGGTTTAACTCATGGTTTGAATCCAGGCCCAAGAGGAGAAAAAGAAACCCCAAGGTTGTGCTCATCCTGAGCAAACTCTGGTTTGTTCATGACACCTGAATACCTACATGCTATCAAGCTGCAACCGACTTACGGTGACCCCAGCAAGGGGCTGTTCAAGGCGGGTGAGAAGCAGGAGTGGTTTGCCGTTGCCTTCCTCTGCAGAGTCTTCCTTGGTGGTCCCCCATCCAATTACCCACCCTGCTTAGCTTCCAAGATCTGACAAGATGGGGCCATGCCATGCCACATTCCCTCCCGACACCTGAATACAAAGTTATCAGCAGCTGGCCCTGGGCTGACTTGCAGTTCCCTCATCGAACACACGAGGGAGTCAGAGATAGCGGGAATTGTCTCATTTTTTTCTTTGGGCTCTCCAAAGGCAGCTCCGAGGGGACTGGTCTCGTTCTACACAGAAAGCAATTTAAGATGCTGGCTGGACACAGGAGCTGCATCGCTCAGCCTTTCCCCCCCTCTGATGCTGAGATCCTGCAGCCATTCCAGAGACGCCAAAGAATCCAGATGCCCCTTTTCTTTCCTTGAAGACAGCAGAGCCTCTAGTAGACAGGCTCAATTTCCAGAGACCTGCCTGAGTTCCTTTTCTGTTCTTGAAATGAGAGAACAGTAGGGTTGCCAGCCTCCAGATGGGGCCTGGAGATTCCCTGGAGTTATAACCAGTGTTCCCTCTAAGCTGAGTTAGTGTGAGCCTCTGGCTCACAGATTTTTGTCTTAGCTCAGGAAGGAGGGCTTCAGAGCAAACTAATTCATGCAGCAGCCAAATAGCTCGCTCACAACTTTAATGCCAGGAGCTCGCCAAGTAGAATTTTTGCTCACAGGACTCCACAGCTTAGAGGGAGCCTTGGTTATAACTGATTGCCAAACTACAGAGATCAGTTCCCCTGGAGAAAACGGGTGGTCTGTATGGCACTACATGCTGCAGGAATCCCTCCCCTCCATAGACCCCACCCTCCCCAGGTTCCACCCCAAAGGTCCAGGCCTTTCCTAACCAAGCGTTGGCAACCCAAGACAATGGGCTGTATCAAGTCTCATTGAGGCCCTTTTAAAAACCTTTCTGCAAGAAAGGCTGCTGTTTAAAGCCACTGTAGAGAAAAAACAAACAAGCCGCTGGCTGGCCAGTCCGCAAGGTCTTCTTTAAAAAGTTTTGGAACATCAGGTTGGGTCCTGCCAGATTTGCCACTGGTGGGAGAGGAATGGGACCGGGGTCTTCTTTGGCCACCATAGACAAAAGTCATGGGGGGGAGACCATTGTAAGTCCTTTGGGTCCTCTTTTTGGGAGGAAAGTGGGACATCAGTGAAGCAAATGCAGAGTCCCCCCAACCGCCTTGAGCCTTTGGGATTCTGACACAGCGTGTTGGGCGCAGCTACGATACAGCTGCCATGGGGGGTGGAGCTCCCCACAGCCAGTTTTGGTGTGGTGGTTAAGAGCGGCGGCCTCTGATCTGGAGAACCGGATTTGATTCCCCACTCCTCCGCATGGGACCTTGGGTCAGTCACAGTTCTCTCAGAGCTGTTCTCCCAAGAGCAGTTCTCCCAGAGCTCTCTCAGCCCCACCTACCTCACAGGGTAGATTTGTGGGGAGAGGGAGGGAAGGAGATTGTAAGCCACTTTGAGCGACATCGGGCCTGCCGGGTGACCTTGGGTCAGTCACAAGTTCTCTCAGAGCTGTTCTTCCAAGAGCAGTTCTCTCACAGCTCTCTCAGCCCCACCTACCTCACAGGGCACCTGTTGTGGGGAGAGGAAGGGAAAGGAGAACGTTAGCTGCTCTGAGACTCCCAAGTGAAGGGCGGGGTATAAATCCTTCTTCTTCTTAAAATGGCTGCTGTAGCTTCAGTCACACGGCAAAGATCCTTGTGCTGTGGTCGTGGCTGCTGCTCAAGCAGCCTTTCAAAAAAAAAAAACTGTACAGCCAATCAGAAGATTCGATGGGCAGAAGCCTCCCCTGGCCCCCCCCCTTTCTAAAACCACTTGTTGGGCACCAGGGAAGGTGTCGGGGCCACCATCGCGCCCATGGGCACCACTTTGGGGGGGGGCCCTGAAGTCAATGAATAAGACAATGGCTTTGAAGTAATGGTCTTTTCCTCCTTCTTTTCCAGGGGAACGGTGATGGCGCCCTCAGAATTTTCTGGACTGTTGTTTCCTCTGACCCACCCCTCAGGACCTGCCAGCGGGGGAGGGGGCTTGTCTGAGGGTGGGGAACGAGCCCTCCTTTCTCAATCTCCATCTCCCCCCCCCCCGGAAGTCGCTGCCTGATGCATTTTTCCCCCCCAAGCCATAAAGGCAGCTGGTTGAGGCGCATTTTGATGTGGGGAGGGGAAGAGTGTGGCTCAGCAAGGTCTCCAGTGGAAGGAGCGACCCCCCCCCTCCCCTCCTTTGTCCTTCTACATGAATTGGTTGTTCGCAGGGAGGGGGGGGGTTGAGCTTTCGTGACATGCATGCTTTGGAGTCTGTCGTGACAGAGGGGTTGGGGGTGGTCCTTGGGGGGAGGTGTCCCTTTTTCTTCTGACAGAGGTTTTGGGACTTCAGCAGCTGCATGACAGGTCGATTCAACACGGTCCCCTTCATGGGCAGGGGGCTGCATTGTCGGGTGTCTGTCAGGGAACTATCAGAAGCCGGGAGGGATCCTGTCCTAGGTGAGCAGAACTCCTGCCCACAGCAGCGTTCCAAGCTTCTAGCTGTAAATTTAGAACAGTGTGACTGTTCCAACTGTCACAGCTAACATGGGACTCTTCCTTTGAGGGGACGTTCTGGGCTCTCTTGTTCCGATCTCAATGGACTTTGGGGGGGGGCGGGGATTGGGGGGCCATTCCTCCTGCTTCCCAATCCGGTGGCGGGTCCTCCGTTCTGTGCCAGGATCCCTGCAGGGCCCTCTCGCCTCAGTCTGCATGAGCCTCCGAGCCGAGAGGAGGAAGGAGACAGGGAAACCATTGGACTTCCACTGCTCACCACCGTGCCCCCAAAGAGACAACCTTGGGCCTGCCGAGAGACAGCCTGGGTGTGGACTGGGCTGCTTCTGTGTGTTCGCCCCCAGATTTGGGAACAGCTGTGGCATTTCTTGAAAACCAATTTGGGGAGGGGCTATGGCCAAGAAGACCCGACGTGGACAGTGCCCTTTCCTCGTTAAAGCCGGATTTGGGCCTTCCTCAGATTTAGTGAGCTGACGCTGGACTATTTTGTGTGTATGTATGTGTGTGTGTGTGTTCAGTGTATGGGGTAACAGTGTGTTTCTTCTCTCGTCCCCTCTTCTTTCTAAACCTGGATAATTTTGTTCCATCTGTGGTTTGCATGGTTCCCCTCCACCCAGTTTGGGTGGTGGGTGGTGGATCCCAGCTTTTGGCTGGGAGAGTGCCTGTCCAAAGAACCCAGGTGTCTCACAAGTTCTGATAAAAATCCTGCCTGTGTGTATGTCTCTCCCCCCCCCCCCCAATTTCTTCTAATTTGGAATGTCCATTTTGTTTACCTCCCCCCTCCTGATCAAACGCACGTCCGTTTGTCATTCTGTCTTTTGTCTGTCCTGGTTTTTTGAGATTTTGTCCTGTTGATGGTTGGTTTGGGTTTTTTTTTAAATTAAACAAAAGGTGTGAGAAATGAAGACAAACAGGAAAAAAATAGCCCTGCTTCCTAAACCTCTGTCCCCCCTTTTTTTGGAAAAGCCATATACCTCCCCTCACCGCTTGGGGGAGTTACGACTCCCCAGCATTAGGGGCGAGGAAGAGGGGGCCGGACAGGGTTCTCTCTTTGCAATAGGTTTGGAACTTGAAGCTGCTGCTAAAAAAAAGTGACATCAATAAAACTGGACAAAAATACGACCGATTGGGCATCTGTGGGATTTGGGAGCATGTTGATGATCAAAGTGAGCCTTGATGGGGTGGAGTTGGCCTGAGGGTCCACATGAATCAGGACTTCCCACTCTCCAAAACGTCTGGGCTGTCATTTTCAGATACAAAGATAAACCCTTAAAGCAGAGAGAAGACACGATTCTTTCTCAGCCCGAGAAGATGGCATAAGTCGGCATCAGCTGGCTAAATCTCACTGAAATCGCTGCAGTTATCCAGTTGCCTGGTCAAGGAAGGGCTCGGGGGCTGACCCTGTGGCGCAAAAAAAACACGAATCCAGTGCAATGGATGCCTATGTGGAAATTGGGGGTCCACTCTGCCAATCCTGGGGGGTTTTTTACACTGGGCATGGCTTAGTGGAAAATAAACAAGTTAGTCTTTTGCAAGGCATGCCGCCAGCAACTTGCTGGAATACCAGAGGCTGAGGCATCCAGTGATGCTTATCTCTGCCAGGAGGGAGGACGGTTTTCCAAGACGGATCCATAAATAGCTGCACCTAAACTGGCTTACCTGCCCTTTACACAGGAATGCGGTCGCTGTACAGAAGCGAAGGCGAAAGCAGGATTCTGGCTCCAGTCGCAGGAGCAGAGGCAGAACTGTAGCTCAAAAGGGTGCTGAATTATGGGCACTAGGGTACTCCAGGGCTTTAGACAAGACTCCATGGAAATGAGCTTGAACAGGGCACAGGGGAGTCTAAGGCGTTCCAGAAATCTGGCTTCTGAAGCCCCATTATGATTTCTAATATAGAGAATCTTGTCCCCCCCCCACGCACCTGACTTTGACAATCAGACATCACAAGTGGGGAAACTCGTTTTCGAGTGCTTGGGTCCCAATTTGGACCAGGACCATAGGGCTGGGGAGAAGAGCCCCCACACTCCTGATGTCTGACTATCAGAGAGTCAGCTTGGGGGAATCCTGATCCTGTAAGTGGCAAATTGTAACGTGTAGTTTGGCCCTAAGAAAGACTGAAGCCTGAGTCTGTACAGTACAGACTGTTGCAGGGGTGCATATGATTGAAATACAAAAGAATTCCCTTCTCATAGAGAACTAGCAATGCAGGGAGCAGCATTCTGCCCCACCCGTCTCCCTGACCTGCTAGTTTTCTACAGGCAGGGTTGTTTTTAATCTGGACATTCTGTTTTGTGAGTCACCCCTTTCTTTCAAGTGCGGCAAGCTAAACAAAGCTTTACTGCTACCTCTTTAACAACTAACTAGGTTGGCATTCGTAAGTTAACCGTCAAGACAGGTACAGTGTGTCCAATTTCAATAGTTCAACTTCAATGGATCAAGAACAGGGTGCTACCTTTGTTCTTACTTTGTACAGATTTAGCTGTAAATACAAAAGCAGCATTCCAGGATGGAATTTGTCCTCATCGGTGTTGCAGGGTCCAGACTAGGGGTGTACATTTGGGTCTAACCGTACTGAAAATATAGCCAAAAAACACCTCATTGGTATTTTTGGGGTGTATTTCAGCATTCCAAATATATCCAGGATTTTTCAGGAGAACTGGAAAAAATCCCAGATATATTCAGGAATTACTGGCAAACCCAGAACAACAGCTGAGGGGCTGGGGCAGATTGCCCCTGCTGCTCAGCTGTTTTGCAAGCTCTGTTGGGCAGTCTGGTTGTCCCTATAAAGGGGGGGGGGGGTTTAAAGGGACTGCAGAAGACAGCCTGAAAAACAGCCGAGGGGGGCACTCTCCCCGCTGGCTCGACTGGGGCTCTTTTGGGCTGTTTAACCGAACTGCCAAAGAGACCCCCAGGTGAGCCCGCGGGGAGAGTTCTCCCCACAGGATCAGCTGCTTTGCAAGCTCTGTTGGGCAGTCTGGTTTAAAGTCGCCCCTCAGCTGGGTTTTTGCAGCTTTGCCACTGCTTCCCCCCCCCCCTCTGTATTTTTCGGTTCGTATTGGACCTGGGGGAAAAATCGGGATTTCTGAAAAATCCTGAATCTGAATACTTTACTGGTATTGGGATCCGTTTTTTTTCGGGAACCCGGAATTTTTTTTCAGGCCTCAAACAAAGAAAAATACAGAGAGAAAAAAATTGCACACACCTAGTCCTGGCCAGCGGGAGGAGGATGAGAGAGGGCATTACAGAGGACGCTGCAGGTTTTTCGTAGCTGTGAGCCGGTTCTACTGCTGAGATCTGGGAAGGAAAAAAACACCAAATCCACTTAATTAACAGGTAAGGAGACTAGGCCGTGACTCTGGGGATATTCAGGAACAGCATTAAGAGACAGACACACAAGCCAGAATTGTTATAGTTCAGAGACTTAAGACGGTCTGATCTCACCTTGTGCAAAGCATCAACATCACCTCTGGCCTAAATGCATAACAGGAGATTAGAACTCAAATAGATAACAGTTCAAAACCAGAGATCCTCTTCATCTTGCCTGAGATATGAGGTGACTGCCAGATAGTGAGCTGTCTCCCCACCCGCCCCCATCCAACCAGAGTGGTAGCCTGGAAGATGCAGAAGAGAGCAAACATGCTAACCAACTTCAGCTGCAGATGCTGCAGGCACAGCTGCTCGATCGCAGAGTCAGCGTGTTGAACGGCTCGACTTTCTTTTGGGAGGAAATATAATAAAATGAGGTTTCTAGGTCTTGTAGCCCACAAGAATAGATGAAAACCTGCGAGCAGCAGTAAATTATATAGTACTATCAGAAAATGCCCTAATTTCTGAGGATTGGGCTGGAATCTTGAGTTTTCAAGCGGCAAACAGCTCCTGCGGCAGTATAGCAAGTAGGTTTACTCCCTGCTCAACTTCACAAGGCCTTTTGCTTTTTAATTTCTACAGATGAACACCCCCCCCCAACTCAAACAGAGTTGCAGCCCATTTTTTCCATTTATGCCACCAATGTCTCACCTACCCTGGACTTTTGACTCCTGCCAAGGCCAAGTTGGTCAGTTCAGTTGACCTTTATTGTCATAAAGACCAAGTTGGTCGCACAACTTGCTCCTTCCCAGGAGTCCTGGCTCTTTGCCCAACAGTTAGATTCTCCTCTCTGGGAGCAGAACTACTCCTGGCTTTGTTTCCCAGCCAAATGTGTTGTAGAATCTTTCAGCACCCGGTTCCTGAGTTCTGTTCCTTGGTGGCTGCTGTGGACATAGAAGTTCCAGAGAATTCTAGTGAACCAAGATGGGCAAAACCAGAAAAGATAGCTTCCCACCCCCCCTTTGGGAAGACACCACAACTCTGGGAGACCCACATAGCCAAGCTCTGAGTTGCAACAGGTTAGGTAGTCCCCATCTTCTGGAGATTGTGTCCTTGTCACAATAACTGAGGGAAATGCTCCCCGCCCCCCGGGGCTGCCTTGCCTACACACCCCATCTTTTCAATAACAGGATGTGGATGGCATCTCTTGCTGTCATTGATACAACCCCTAACTTCAA